GGACTACTTCATCTACAACATATTTGACAAAAAGTTCTTTTTTATAAATCCTCAAGAACTTCATCAATGAGACTTAGAATTTAAACTTTGAAGCACTCATTAATTTATAAATTTAGAACACGCCTCAACACTGCTTGACACATGTTTGATATACTTAAAATCATGTATGAGGTATTCATTTTTTCCTAAAGTTAGAGTTGGAATGAACCAGGCATGTGAGCATGTCCCTCATGTCCCTCATGGAAGCAAGACGCGTAAGATACCTTTTCAATAATATATATTTGTTTGGTTTGGTATAACTAAGTTAAAATTAAAACAAAAATTCAACTATCTCTGTGCTTTATTGATTCTTTCATGTTGTCGACTTTTTGTTGACGTGCCCAAGGAGCTCTAATTTGCATGCTGCCTCTTCTTGCCTATGATCGTTCATTTTGCTGAGCTCTTCATGAGCTGTTCCTCTTTATCGAGCATGCTTCCTCATCTAGCCTCCTCCACCAAGCCTTTTGCTCGTCTGCTAGTATTGTGTTCCTCTACTATTTCTCACGTCATTGAAGCTTTCCATCTCTGCTTATTGTATCTTTGTAAACCTTTTCTTCTGCTCAATGGCTCTTTTTCTTTACTTCTATGCTCAGTTATGACTTTAACTTTGTTGCCTTACCTTTAATTTAAGATTTATGCTTCTTTGATTTTTTTTTCCTTGAAATAGAAAATATTGATGTTAAATATTTCTAATTATGCATTATAATTAATAATTTATTAAAGAAAATATTGTGGCTACCTTGTATCATGTCATACTTTTTAAATGCTTTTGTCGTGCCATTTTGTCCCTGTCATTTTTGTGTCTCATTTTGGTGTATTTGTTTCATGGAATTTAATCTAGGAAAGTTTGGAGATCTTCATGCACCCTTATGGTTGTATTGATGCTCTTTTGTTTAAAATGGTGGTTATTTGGAAAATCAAACTTGATGGTCAATTTTGGCTTACCAGTGGAGCCAATTCACTCATCTTTGACAACTTAGTCTCAGGTGCATCAAAATTGGGTAGTAAGTAATATCCATTGTTATTGGAAGGAGAAAAGGACAATGTAAGGAAGTTGACTTATCTTTAACTTATGGCCTCTTGTTTAAGGAATTAAAATGAAAACATGCTCTAAACCAAGTAACCAAAAAGTGCTTGAGCCTATGTTTGAATGGAAAGAGTTGATTTGCACACAGGGAAAGAAGGCAGTGTTGGGTCCAAAACGACCTAGACAACAAGAGAAGAGAGATGACAAGAAGACCTTCAGAGGAAAGCTTGAGGAGTATCCATTCAGACGTGATATGGTTTATAAGCTTGTCATGGGAGTTTAAAAGAAAGTTTAATGATTTGAAATAAATATGTTTTATTCTTATGAATTTAGTGTATGATTTTAGGAATTGAGGCAGTATATTATGGACGTGGTTGGAGATTTGAATTTGGATTCAAATGAAAAATTCATATTTACATTTGATTTTAATGATAACTAGAGTGAGAGTGAGCAAGAGGTAGAGAGGGAATGTGTGTGTGTGTGTGAGAGAGAGAGAGCTGAACAACAAGAAAGCGGTAGCCTTAAGCCCATATATTTTTGCTTTAGTCATGGATGTTCTCACTAGACATTTGCAAGAGGTTGTACCCTGGTGTTTGCTTTTTGCTTATGATATTCTTCTTGTTGATAAGATTAGAGAGGGAGTTGAAGGTAAACTTGAATTATGGAGTTCAACCGTACAGTCTAAAGGCTTTCATTTGAGTAGATCTAAAATTGAATATATGGATTATAATTTTAGAAATAATAGTTCTTTTTGGGGGATTGTGACTTTGAGTGATAACTCATTAATAAGAATACACGTTTTAGATATCTTGGGTTTATTGTTCAAAGTGATGGTGCAATAGATGGGGATATGATTAGTACAATTCAAGTTGGATAGTTGAAGTGGAGGAATACATCATGCTTGTCGTGTGATAGAAAAGTCCCCCTCAAACTTAAGGGAAAATTCTATAAGATGGTTGTTATACTTGCAATGCTATATTGTGTAGAATGTTGGCCATTAAAAGAGAATCATACTATTAAGTGAAGTGTTGCATAGATGAGGATGCTTAGGTAGATGAGTGACCTTACTCTTAGACACATGATACAAAGTGAGCATATACGTAAAAGGGTTGGAGTAGCTCCAGTGGAAGATAAGATTAGAGAGAGTCGCCTTAGATGGTTTGTTCACATAAAATAGTGGCCTTCTGATGACCAGGTTAGGAAAGTAAATGTATTCGATTTAACTTATGTTAAGAAAGATAGAGGTAGACCTAAAAAGTCTTGGTTAGAAAATATTAGAAATGATATTTCTTTATTAGATTTAATTGAGAATTTTACTTTTAGCAGGGCACAATGGAGAAAAAAGGATTCATGTTGCTGACCTCACATAGTGGGATAAAGGCTTGATGTTGTTGTTGATGAGTTCTGAGGTAGGCAGGGGGGGGGTCAAATCATCTTGGGTCCTTCTGTTCTTTGGGCTGCTTGCTTTCTCTCGATTTGGGCCTTGACTGCTCACGGGTTGGGCTTTGGCTGCTTTGGTTTTGAGCTGAAAACTTGGGATCTTCTTGGTGCTAGCTCATTAATGCTTGAGCTGATGTTTATCTCATTATTTGGAGGAGTAATTACACTACTTAGCTCATAAATTTGAAAAAGTATTCTTCTTTTAGCTCATTATGTGGAGTTGGAGCTTGCCTCTTCCCCTTCTTATGTCTCCTCTTTTTTTCCCTTGTGCTCCCGTGACTGTTTGCTGGGTGCTGGTTCCGGTTCCCTGGGTTGCCTTCTTGGTTTCCTCCCCGACTGCTTTCTCGTGGCTGCCTCTACCCGGTTTCTGTGTTGGCTTTTCGGTTTCTTCCCTGGCTGTTTTCCTGTGGCTTCCTCTACCCGGTTCCTGTGTTGTCTTTTGGGAATTGTTTTGTGTTGCCTGCTGGTCTTCCTCTTCCCCTTGCCTGATTGGTTCAGTTGGAGGTGGAAGTTGGCTGTTTGGCTCCCCTTTTCTCCTATAAATATTAGATGTTTTGTATGTTAGAGAGTGTTGTTGTGTGCTGATTTTTGGAGTAAAAAAAATCGAGGGTTTTTTCTTTTTTGGGAATAGCTTGTGAGCTATGTCCCCCATTTCTTCTCTTCTCTATAGCTTGCTAGCTATGTTTCGTCTCGGCTTCTAATCTCTTTCTTCTCGTCGCAAGTGACCACCCAACCTGTATCTTTCTTCTCGACGAATGCAAGCTCCTTTTAGGTGTCTTTATTTTGTGTTTGTGTCAAAGTTTGTAAGAGTCTTTTATCTTATAAAAGTTGTATTTTGTCGTATTTTATTTAAATTTGAGAATTTTATGTATTTTCTTTTATCCTAGGAATTGTTATCTTTTTGCAAGCAAAAATTAGTTTTTTTTTCTAATTTCTTGCTTGCATCAATTTGGTATCAGAGCATGCTTGTCGTGTGTGTCTTGGTGTCAGATGAGTTTTGTTTTGAGTCATAGTCCATGCAATCAGCCTTCGAAAGCCTCGGGACAAGATTCAAAGCAAACTCTAGCTTCATCAGGAGATGAACAATTTCAACGGGAGAAAAATTGATGTAGGCAAGGGGGGGGGGGGGCGGTCAAATCATCTTGGGTCCTTTTGTTCTTTGGGCTGCTTGCTGCCTCTCGGTTTGAGCCTTAACTGCTCTCGGGTTGGGCTTTGGCTTCTTTGGTTTTGAGCTGAAAACTTGGGATCTTCTTGGTGCTAGCTCATTAGTGCTTGAGCTGATGTTTATCTTATTGTTTGGAGGAGTAATTTCACTACTTAGCTCTTAAATTTGAAAAGATTTTCTTCTTTTAGCTCATTATGTGGAGTTGGAGCTTGCTTCTTTCCCTTCTTGTGTATCCTCGTTTTTTCCCTTGTGCTATTCCCGTGATTGTTTGCTGGGTGCTGGTTTCGGTTCCCTGGGTTGCCTTCTCCGTTCCTCCCTGGTTGCTTTCCCGTGGCTGCCTTTACCCGGTTTATGTGTTGGCTTTTCGGTTTCTTCCCTGGTTGTTTTCCCGTGGCTTCTTGTACCCGGTTCCTGTGCTATCTTTTGTGAATTGTTTTGTGTTGTTTGCTGGTCTTCCTTTTCCCCTTACCTGATTGGTTCGGTTGGAGGTGGAAGTTGGCTATTTTCATTGTCTACTAGTAAAATACAAGTGTTTTCTCCTCATCTCCTGCAGTTTTTCTCTATTTTTCTACTGTTTTTGGCTGATTTCCTGCTGTGGACAGCAGCTCGCTTTGAGATTTGTTGCTAAAGTGATTAGGGAATACTTGAAATCAAGTATTTCCTATCAAATTGGTATCAGAGCGCTTTGTTGTCATATGTGATACCTTTGTATGGAGTTTCCCGTTCCTTCATTATTACTCTAGAAAGTTCCGCCACTTTTGGCAACTTTTTTCTATCCTTTGTATTATTTCCAAAGATTTTCTCTTTCAATCCTTAATCTAAAATGCATTCTTTTTCACGTATATGAGTTAACTGATGTGACAAGGCCAAGCATCATAGAATATTTTTATTTTGCATTGGACTGGAACCTGGTTTAATGGAATCATTACAAGCACAGATTGATGCATCTGAACACAATATTGATTTAGATGATTAAGGTCCACCGTTTTTTTTTTCTTCAGCTTGGTTAATGTCGTTGGAATATTCATCCAAAGGCTGTTATTTACACGTTCTTGAGTGACCCTTCTTAAAATGTCTCAAGCCTTTCAACATTTGAGGTTCAAAAATTACTTTGTTGTATTGCTTTTATGTTTAACTTTTAAGCTTTGACTGACTGCTTTTAAAAATAATTTACAGCTGCTTTTTGTATTTGCCTGATGGACTTGAATTTTTCAGTAGTATAATTTGGACTGTTTACTTTCATTCTGCTTCATTTATCCAGTTTTTTCAATTTCTATGAAAATTATTTTCCAGGTAGAATAAGTTTACTGATATTTGGCCTTAAAACAGCCTAAAGAGGTGGAGAACAAGATCTTGGATTCCAAGGAGAAAGTCGAGTATTATCGGACTAGGATGCAGGAACTGGTGAGTCTCCTTATTTGATTCTGTTGTTATCGGTTCACTCTAAGCTTCAGAAGATGATCCAAGGTGCAATTAGTGATATTAGCTACTTAGTGAGACCGCAGTGAACATTTCTTACTCTATTTATGAGGCTCCTTTTGTAATTTCTGCAGAAAATTACAAATCTATATCTTGCCTTGGTAAGCTATGTGGAAAAAAAGTTTTTTCTTTTCCTGTACTCCCAACTTTTTAATGATTTGAGCTGTAGGATTTATATTCCATACGCCACTCATAAATAAGAGATTATTCATGAATTTGGACATCTGAAGTAAATTATCCCCCACTTACTTCTTGCTGGAAAGCTTTATTTTGGAGTGTTTAACTTTTCACTGCCGATTTCTCAGCTTGTGGTTCCATTACCTTTTCTGTAGGTTCTTTATAAAAGTAGATGTGACAACAAACTCAATGAGATCACTGAAAGAGCATCTGGTGATAAACATGAGGTACTTTTCATGCAAATACGCAATTACTTTTTTTTTTATTATAATATTGTGAAATTTGTTTCTCCTAATCATTACTGAAATAGGTTGCAGCCAAGTGTTCCTCCCAATAACAACATTAACAAATCACCTAAAATGATAAGGACGTGTCCTTCTTTATAGCAAATTTTTGCTCTTATTTAATTGACACTTGGTTTATTATCCGCTTTCCTCCTTCAGCTAGCCACTATGGAAGCAGTAATCCTTCATTCTTCGTGATGCATGATGTTCCCATTGTTGCTGCCACGGGATGGTTGAACAGGGATGCTGTAGCTGATGTTTATATTACTTTGCTTGGCATCTCCATATGGAATTAGGAATTTTTAAATAGAAGAGATCATTTTTAAAAACCAGACATTAGAGAGATTGTTCATGTCAAAAGTTTCATAGTATTGCTTATTTATTATGAACAAATTGACTTAAAATAAGGCCCGATGTGTGTTATCTATAGTGTTGCGTTGTACAGTCAAAAGCCCCCTTGATTTTCTAACTGCTACTTAAGGCCTTCTCTTTACTAAAAATGGTGACCTAAATTATGCGAAACATGTGAAAAAACAAAGATCTATGAGTACAATTGTTGGATCATATGACATGCTAAAAAGCTGCTATATACGAGAGGAAAATTCAATGCAAGTATATAATCCTGGTGCTTTTGTCATCCTTGAAAGGAAGTCATATGATTTGAGATCATTCTTTTCCTTCAGATCAATTCAAACAAATTCAAGTATGAAGATCATTGCTTTATGAATTTGAAAACTGTATGAAATCCATCGACATTAAAAAAAAACAATGGGAGGTGCAAGGAAACAACAAGGAATTGAAAGATAAGAGAGGGACATAAAACTAGACTGTTGTGGTAAGATTTTGTTGGGTGATCCATCTAAATTCATGCACTGCTTCACATCTCCATGTGAGAGCTGTGAATTTTCAAATATAAGAGATGCTGATGCAGGACTACCTAAATGAAGTGCTTATGAATTCATTTAGGCATTGCACAACATTTAGATTAGAATAGTTTCGGAATAAAATTACCAGCAGATATCAACGAGGAATAAAACAATTAAGGAGATATTTTGTGTAGGTTACATTACATGCTCCGAATTTTGAACTCTCTAGATAATTAAGAAAACAAAAACAATACAGAATAGTAGTTTTCAATTTAATCCCTAATCTAACAATGAGATTTAGGATGCAGAGAAGAAACGCTCAATTCCTATGAATTACTAAGCTTAGCAAGAGCAGTGGAAGAGTCCTCCGTGACTGTAATCAAACCAACGAGAATTCAGATTTAAAGAAATAAGATGCAAGGGGAGGAGAAACCTTTGCTAGGGAGACGTGAAGATCCTCCACTCAATGCCTTCAAAATGTTCGTCGACAGATTACCCCGTAATCAGTGTCGGGGTCGGCTATCCATGTAGTACCTTGCTGTTTTGACTTGACGAGGTGTTGATTAGCAAGGAAAATCTGCTCCAATTGTTGTATGGCGATTCAGATGAGCTGAAATAGATGGACAGCAGGTTGACCTTGTAAAGCAGCAGCTTTGAGGCTTCACGTTGCTGTGAAAACAGTGAAGATTGCTGGAATTCACTGGTTACAGCCTTAGGAAGCAGGAAACTCAAACATCTGATGGAGTTTCGGAGTTTCGGTGGAGATTTGTGGAGGGAAGCTAATATGGCAGCCTTGGGGTTTTTTGAAATAATTCCAATTTGAGTGGGCTATCATTAAGAATTAATTAAGCAAGATATTTATTCAAAGCCGGTTAAGAGAGATGGCTGAAATTTGCCAGAAAATAATTTCCAAGAGACGTTAACGGGAATTAGGAAATAAATCCAAGCCCTTCTCTATAGGATCGGCAGCATGAGGGATCATGGGAGGCATTTAATGAGAGCATTTAAGGTCTCTTAATTTGGTTTAATGCATTAGGAAAGTTTTAACAAAATCCAAATTGAATTTGAATTTCAGAATTTATGAGATTAAAACTTTCCTAAAATAGATTAATTATTTTAGGAAAGATTTTGAACTCAAATTCAAATGAATTTGAAATTCAGAAATTTCCCAATTTAATCTCCAAACTAATTAGGAAATCAAAGGCATGGGGAAGTGGATGTGGTGGGGAGGCCGACGGTGGAATTCATGGAGCCGGCGGGATGGGGAGGCTTGGTGGGTGTTTAGCCGTGAGAAGGGGGAGGGAGGTGATGGGGTTTCAAACGGCGAGGGGAAAAAAAAATCCGATGGCTAGGGATTGTGGAAAAAAACAAAGAAAAGAAAAAAAAAAAAAAAGAAGGGGAGAAGAACGTGAGATAAATGAAAGAAACCACGAACCCGACTCGTCTAGGTTGGTGGGTATTGCGCAAATACTAAGAAAATCATGCATGAAAAAAGTTCCAAAGTATTACTTACTATGAGGTAATTGACTTACATCGATCTATTATGGAAAATCAGGCATGACCGTTACTGTGTTTTCTGTGTTGTGCAGTTCGGAGCCTCCCCTAGTTTGTTGTTCATAACTGGGAAGCCATTTTTTCTGTTTTTCACTATCATTCATATATGTTGAATATTTATTCAACTAGTATGTAATTGGAATAAACTATAAATTCCATAGATTGATGCCTGCTAGTGTTCCTGTGGAAGCATAAAATATGTTAGGAACGGAGAGAGATCAAAACTAACCTCCCTAAATAGAAGACCAGTTTGTATTGTGGATTACATCTATGTTGTGAATGTTGTGAGCGTTTTGAAAGACTTATTGATCATGTTACATCTAAATTGGAATTGAAATGAATTTTTTGTTGTAATAATGGATGTATTGTAAAACAAGGGTGGGGATCATAGTTCCTGTTAGTTTTACGATAGTAGAATGGGTTGGCATGATCTTCTGAGTAAAAAATGTATGCCTTATCAGTACTTTCCAGATAAGCCTTTGGCAGTCAGGGTGCTTGAACCTTGTTCCCTTTTTTTTGTTTCCAGAAATTAGATCCTTGGACCTCAACTTTGGCTGTGAAAAAGGAAATACCTTGTGCTTTGTCATATGAAGTATTTTGAGGTGTCTTTTACCTTGTGGTTGATATTAGCAATAAGCTCATCTATCTTTTTGAATGTGATTATTGTGACCTTTTAATGTAACGTAGAAACTTGATGCTGTCGGAATTTTTTGCATTTGATCATCAGCATATTTGTTGCAGATTTTAAAAATTTTGAATCACCATTATGTATTGCTGTTGTTTAAGGAAAAACAATTATGCTTCATTTCAGGTTGAGTCGCTGGCAAAAAAGTATGAAGAGAAATACAAGCAAGTTGCAGAAGTGGCTTCAAAATTAACTGTGGAAGAGGCTACTTTTCGTGATATTCAGGTTAGTTTACTTGGCTGATGTCTATACGGGTAATCAATTTATTGCCAATTTTTCTTAGCTTTTGCTTGTTTTACTGCTTTCTTGTCACTTTGTCTAAAAGCTACCATGTTGAATTGCAGGGAAGGAAATTGGAACTTCAAAATGCAATTGTTAATATGGAGAAGGGTGGAAGTTCTGATGGACTACTTCAGGTAATCTTCATGTAAGCTTATTAGTTTTCATGTCATCCAACACCTCAGCTGTCCAACTTAAGCACCCACTATTTTTTCAAGGTTCGTGCTGATCGGATTCAATCTGATCTTGAAGAGCTAGTGAAAGCTTTGCATGCACGCTGCAAACATCATGGATTAGACATTAAATCGAAAGCAACTATTGAGCTACCCTTTGGTACTACTCCTATTCCTGTTAATGTAATTTTTGCTCAATTTTTTTACCTAGGAATTTCAGGGGCCATTTGAGATCACTTTTAATATTGTTTTTTTAATGCGCTGATATGAAATGAATTCATATTTGGAATATTAAATATAAGTTGTTTATTATAATATAACATTGCATATGCCAATTTATGCAACTGTGGCGCTCATGTTAGTGGGCTGGCCGCAAACAATGGTGGTGGCAGCCAGTTGTGGTGATAATGATGGTAGTTGTAGTGACTGTCACGAGGTGGTTTAGTGGCCTTGTTTTGAAGATAAAAAAAACCCACCTAAAGGTTGGTTTGAGTATTTTTAAAATAATTTATTAAAAAAGAAAATACAAAACCTCTAACCAAGCATATTTTTTAAAAAAGACAAAAAAGTCAAAAAATAAAAAAATAAATAAAAAAAAGTTATGCCAACATAAGTTTATTGAGGTTTGGTTGATTTCATTTCTAGTTCTATCTTAGCGAACATTTGAAGAGTAGCTTATGCCTCAAGTTTGTTGAGGTGATTGATGACATGATATGCCATGCCTTTTAAACAGAGGTTTGCTTTGGTTAGTTGACTTTGGCTTATGTGTAGCCACCTGTGAGTTTTCAACATTGGAATTGATATATATATATATATATATATATATATCATAAAGAAAAATCAACAAGCTAAAAAAAAAATAAAGACAAATCAACAAGCTAAAAAAAATGCAATTATCTCTCCATGCATATATAGAGTGCAAATCCCTCTTGGTGTGATATCAAAGAAGGAACAAAAAAAAAGTTGCTTATGTTATGAAATTTAAGGCTTTGCATGCCATTACGAGAAGATTCAACATAGGAGTTCGACTTTTTGTTGGAGTTTAGTGATAAAGGGGATTTAATTTGCTATTGAGCAGAATTAACATAAGATCCTTTTATCTGAATGCAAGCTTTGGGAAGAAGATTGAGAAGGAATGACGATGATAGTAGATCCTTTAAATGATATGTCTAGGAGAAGTTGAAGCTCCTTATATTTATGTCTTGAGAATGTTATTGCTTTGAAGGATGTCATGATGCCAACACAGAACAACTCAAACTCTTTATTGATATTGGGTTCATAGACAACCGAAAAGCTAATTTTATTGTTGTTGCCTTGAAGGATGTATTGATCGGGTTCATTATCATTGCCCGCACCATCCGCTTTAAGTATAAAAATAATAAATGTTATAATTCTAAAAAAATCACATGCAGCTACTATATGCTAGGTATTTTATACCTATTTAATGACTAGCCTTAATCGAAAGTGCTCTCTCGTCATCAGGTGGAGTAATTAATCATAGGTGCTTACGCCTATGAGAAAACTAGAACCAGATTGTAAAGTCCTCCCAAACTGAGGGCGAAATCTCTGGTAGTGATTTATCCTAAAGTCAATCTGCCTTCTGAAAATTTGACTTGAAACATTGTTAAAACTCTCCTATGCAGGGGAGGCCAGACACGAATTTTTGGAGCCCACAATCTAGGTGTGATATGTTCCAAGTATCTTGGATTCTATCATACAAAAGAATGTGGTTGTCTAAAAAGAAATAACTTTGAAAGTTAAGGCTATAGCATTAAAATAGAGAATTACCATATTAATATTATTTGATAATAAAATATGGAGACTTAAAAAAAATCTCATAACTTGCATTTTGATCAACTATATTGTGTAGATCTTAATGTTTGGTCATAAAAATGATTTTAATAACTAATTTGAGTATGATATATTAGAATATTAAGAAGGCAGTGTGACAAAATTAGAAAAAAATAAATTAATGAATTATAATATCAGAGGATTGGTTGAAGTAGCATATACTGAAGATAATGTAGCTGAAAGAAGACTTGGACTAAACATGCATAACAAATTGTAGAAAATGCATCAATTAGAATGGTCGTTAAAATTAATATCAAATGATTAGCTAGTAAAAGCTGAAGACCTATGGTAACAACGAGAGAAGTTGTTTAATATATATGCATGAATATGCTTAATATCTAATTCAACACATAATAAGAATTGATAAAAAATAAGTATTCATAAAGCTAATCCGAATAGTTGGGATCAAATAAATAATAACAATGATATACATTGTATTTATTGTTCTATATTTAAAACTTTTAAGATTAGCAAATTGCATTTTAAATTCATACTCGTAAACTATAAATAGATATTAGTAAGATTATTTACGCAGCAATTCATAAACTAACTGACTCTGTAGATTCTTATTGACCGATGATTCCTGTTTTACATATCTGCTAATCAGTTGGTCACTAGTCATTCACTCGAATGAACTTTGGTTGTGGATATTTCTGGACCGCTATTTTATTAAATCAGGCCAACAAATTTGTGTTGTTTGACTTAAGTAAAGGTTTTGTGTTATATGCGAGTAATTTATCTCTAACAATATGTACTATGGCTTACTATTTTCTTTGATATTGAGATTTTATCCATTTAATCATGCATTCTCATATTATTTTGTTGTTCTTCTTTTTATTTTTTTATTTAAATTCAATATATATATTTTTTAAATTTCTTCCATTAATTGGGTACAATCTTGAATTCCAACAAAAATTGAAATCCTCTATGCTAACTCCTTTCAAGGTTGGCAACCTGGCATACAAGAAGGTGCAATTGATTGGGATGAAGATTGGGACAAATTTGATGATGAAGGTAATTTGCCAATGCTTATGTAGTCAGGAATTGACATGTTATTTTAGATGCTGTGCGATAATGTGCAGGAGTCTCAGGATTTGATGATTATGACATGGTGATTTTTTATGTTTGAGCCACTGTGTCCTCATACTAGTTTTTGATTGTAGAAACTTTGCAGGAGTTAGATATTTTGGATAGAGTTGTTAAATTCTTTCAACACCTTAATGCTAAGGGTGCAATGTTATAATATCTGTCAAAGGCGTTATTAGGTATGGCTGAAGTTGTGAGAATGTGGTAGAATAAACTAGACTTTGACATTGCATATAGCACCAACATGCATCAGATTTAAATTAAATTTTCTTGTAATATTTTAGTTTTTTTTTTAATACTGAAATATTTTTCCTCTTTTATTTCATGTAAAAATGATCATTTGCTCTTTTTGATTCTAATATTGCACATATTTTTGTTATGAACTGTCAGTTTAGTATTGAAGTCATATATGTTGACATCAACTTTTCAGCGATACCTCTTTTCTTACATATGTTTTGTTTATGCTTTTGCATGGATTGGTTTTATGCTAATGCTTACATCCACTAATCAATGTGTCTGTATACATTTTACTGATCTCAGCCATTTAGATGTCCTCTCATGTTTGTACTTGTGCCTGTGGTTGCTGTCTGTAAGAATGGTGGTGGTGTGGAACTTGCTAAGTCATCTCTCTGAGATTGTGTTGATTGGTCCTTCTCCCACTACTTTTCTTATGCTCACCGCTTCCTGCCATTTTGCTGTATGGGTTGTGACCCTGTTCTGTGACTGACCTAAAAATTTTCCTCCACGAAAGATTTGTGGCTAACACATCTGCATGAGATTTTTGGCAACTCTGACAACCCAACACAGTTTTCTGCAATTTTTTTTAATTCTTTAAAGAAAAAAAAATTGTTATTGAATAAAATCCTAGTCATATGTGTTATTTCCTTTATGGAGTATATTTTTTGATCAAGTGAAAGACTTGAAAAAATATTATCTACTCTTAGAAACGTGCAGAATTTTTTTTTTTAATTTTTTTGAAAAAGTTGAAAGTTATTTTCCCAAAGAGGTGTTACAGTTAGAAGAGAAAGTGAAGGCACACGGAATGTAATTTAAATGCCATAATAGGATTAATCCTATGGTTAGAACCCTTCATCCATGTGCTTAAATGGCTAGCCATATAGAGCTAAGGGGAGACTTTGAATTAGGGAGGGAAGAGAATATGGGGGAGGGAATTAGGGAGCTTTAAATGGAGACTTTGAATTAATTAGGGGAGAGAGGGGATCCAAGAGAGGTGGCCGACCATATAGAGCTAAGGGGGGATTTAATTTCATTAAACATGTGGGTCCGGGAAGGATTTAATTGGAGATTGCCAATAAATCTGAAATTGATTTCAGATTTTAATATGTCTGAGAGGTTTCCTAATATACACTATTAATAGGGAAAGCTTTAAAATTCAAATTTGAATTTGAATCTAAATGTGGTAACCTTCCAAATTAATAGGGATGTAATTTAGGAAAGTGATTAAGAATGATTTTGATATTTGAATTTCAAAATCCCTAGGGAGTGGAATGAGAGCGGGTGGCTTGTGGAGTTTGGGAGGCCGGTGGTGAGGGGGTTTGCTGGGGTTCGGTGGTGGACGGGGAGGGGTGGCCGGTGGCACAAGGTGAGGTGGGTTGGTGGGGATTCGGTTTTGGGAAGAGGGAAAAGGGGATGGGGCTTTGGGAGGCCGGCGGGTAGGGACTAGGAGGGGAGGTGGGAGTAGAGAAAAAGAAAAGAAAGATTGGAGCCGCGAACCTTGGAATTCTCTGAAGGTTGACGGGTATTGCTTTCACCCACCTAGGGTTTCTCCTCTCAAGAACTCACAAAGAGATTAAGCAAGAAAGTGGAAATTTCATTCATAAGCATCTTTAGAAAATAATACAAAGACTAGGCCTTCATATATAGGCCTCCAAAGCACAAAATATAAAAGACACAAATGCTCTCATGCTACAACATAACACAAATCCCTCTTAGGGGTACAAGTGAAAAAACTGAAAAAATAAATAAAAGAAATGCACTAAAACATCATAAATAGAGACTATGAATCGTAGCCGTCGATCTACGATCCCGCCGATGGTAAATACGTTGAAATGTTTTCTATGCTCATATATTCAACGTATCCACTATCTTTGTATCTTCCTTTGCTTTGCTGGCTTCCTTTATGAAATTACTAAGAGAATTGTGTGAAGGAGCAATGCTGTGCAAGGACTTGTATGAAATGGGGATGGTAGGAAATTATCAAAGAAGATCATGTACTCATTGTTTATTTTCCTCCATCGTATTTTATTGCTAGCGCTAAAGTTGCACCGGATTTCGAATTGTGTTGTCAAAATGGGAAATAATAGGTTTTGAGTTGTTTCTTCTGTGTCTTCTATTCTAAATATGAGCAATCACGCAAGAAGCCGCCTTACTTTGAAGAAAAAGTGAACAAAACTTCCACTTGAAGCCCCTTCTCTTCCTCCTTTCACCCACAACACGCGCATACTCCACAGCATGTGAATCTGCTTTACTAAATAGTAGGCGTTTACTACAATTGTTGCACTAACTGATTTCAGTATATTCTGTAGCAATTGCCAGTTGAAGGCAGCAAATGCAATGTAATGGAGCTGTGCAAAGTGCTGATAAATCCCTCTGTCCTTAGTTGGGCTTACTCTTCATGCTTATAAATCCCTTTTTCTTTTATAGATTATGTGACCATTTTGATGATTCTTATTATTTTTTGCTGTGATTCCTTTATCCCCTCCTTTTCTATTTTGAAAACGGTCCATGAAATTCTGTGACTTCAATATTGTTATTTGGTTGTTTGATAGAAGTAACTCTTTCTCTCATAGATATTTGCATTAACATCCAACTTCTCCTGCCCTGTTTTTCTTTATTTCAGGGTTTTTAGTTGCAAAAGATCTTTCTATAGAGGTCGAAAATGATGTTGCACGTTCAAAATCCAGAAGTCCATCAGTTTGGAGCAATAAAATCTCCACAGATGGGGTTTCTCCTGTTTCACCAATCAACCATCACGAGAACACGGATGATATGCTTTTTAGTCCCGGCAGGCGGATCACTGAGAGCGATTCAGTCTATTCTCACAGTGAATATGGATCAGGAAGAAGCCCACCTGGTAGTCCGGGTAGAAGTGCCTTTGAGGCTCCATCTCAAGAATTTCAAGCTACTCATCATGAGATGCATGATATTTCGCCTCGTGGTAAAGATAATCACAGGTTTTTCCCTACACTTCTCTCCAGACACTGGTATAATCTTGAATATGAATCATAACAAGTCTCATAAAAAGGAAAATGCTATTGATTTGATGCGAAAGTTATGCCCTTTTCAATTTATGTTCAAGTGAGATTTTTTTTTTGTTTTAATTTTTCTATTTTAAATATTTAGCATCTTCACCTTTTCATTTTATGCTCAATTTAGATTATTTTGTTTTAGATTCCTCTTTTATTAATATTTTGGTTTTAGCTTGTTAATTCATATGAAGCAATCGTACTTCTTCTTGTGGTGTCATTGGGTCAAAACTCTTAACTTTAGCTTCAAACCAACTTCTTGGATCTGGCTTCATGAAGTATTTCTCTCCCCCATTCTTCTTATGTGCTCCTTAGGGCGTAACATTACATTGTGCAAGCTTTTGGTCACAACTTCTATTCAAGATATTTTGGCTTTCCCTTTACTTTATTTGCCTTGATCTTATCTACCAAAGTTGTTAGTGCATCTTTACTCTTTGTTTTTCGTGCTCAATCCACTTGAATTTATTCTTTAAAACTTTATTATAAATGGTCACCACTCCTACACTTTCTTTAGCATAACAATTTCATACTCTTTTCTAGTTTCAGGAGACAAATATCCATGCGTTCTCAAAATTTTTTTCTAAACATAGATTTCCTTGTTGCTCGATGACACTTGGATGCTTTTAAAACTTTTTTTTTGGCTGCTTTTTAAAATTTTCTGTTAGGTTATTGTGATTATCCTTGTGGTGGTTATTTCCCTTAAAAATACAAAAATACTCGTATACTTGTGGTGTAGTATGTCTAATGCTGCTGTTATCTCGCATTTACTATTTTCACAGGAATGGTTAGATGACGTATAAGATTAAACCAGTTGGCTTCCCTATTATATAATATTAAGCCAGTCGGCTACCAAAAATCTTAATTTTGTATTGATTGAAGAGATTTTCAAATGTCTATGTAGTCTGAATACTCTATGAACACTCTAACGTGATAATACATGCTTCGTATAATTTTTTCCCTATCTTGTTAGCTAAAAACTGTATACGCAGCCGCAAACATGCAATTTGAGTATAGTTATTTTGAAATTATATTTTACGAACTTAGGTTTAGGAGCTGACAGCTTAAAAATCTCATATAACTCTTAATTACCAGAGCCTATAAGTAATATTCTACCATATATTTCTCACAGCTGTACGAGTTTTTAAATCCATAGATGCCAAAATACTCATCTTTCCCAAATATGGCTTCTTAGCTGATATACTTGAAATAGAAGACCTTCAAATTTAATCTTCGTCTAAATTTGTCTCAGTCCTAAACCTTATTCCTGCCTATTGTAAAGAAAGTTACGAATGGACGTACTGAGCCTAATCTCAAGTCCAGATGTCTTAAAAAAAAAAAGTCCAGATGTCTTCTTTTGAAACTTGCTCAATGGGGTTTGTTTGGGATGCAATCAATGTATCCACGTATTTTTATTGATCCGAGTTCATGAGATAAGCTGCTAACGGAATGCAAATGCTATTGACATAGGTGAATTCACGCAGTGACTTCATATGTAGTCAAGTTTATGTAGTTATTGTTTACAGAAAACGAAGTTTTTCTTTACATTAGACTAAGATTTTTGCTCTGGTATCAAATACTATGGCCCAACATTTGTTGGTAAATGCTTCATGAAAAATTGCTTGATACCTCTGCTTTCATTGGTGAATTTGTTCAGCCAGTTCACCTTGAACCGGCCCAGCCGGCCCAAGGGCCAGCTCAGGTCTACAGGAGGCGGAACTTGTCCGCCTCCCTTTCTCTTGCCCACAATCCAACTCCCTTTCTCTTGCCCGCCCCCACTAGTCCAATTGAATTCAAATTCAAAAAGAGGGGGTAGCTAGGGCTTGGGATGGAAATTAGATTAGAAAAGTTTTTGTATTAAAAGCATGAGATTTTTAGGGAGGGATTATGTTTTGATTTGTTCTCAATTAGGGTTCATTGGTGACTTGGGCTCTAGACTCTCTTGTCTAGAGGTTTGGAAGAGACGATCCTCCTCTCGAATTGAGGATCTCTTGTATCTTGTTTTCATTATTGTTTGGCTTTGATTTTCCTACAGCAATATATCGTTTTGAGGCTGTTTTCACCCAGATTTCGCATTATTCTTGCTGTTTTTCACCAATTGGTGATAGGTTTGCTTGCGAACTCAAGTATTTTCTATCAGAATTCTGGCTTGAATGCTCTGAACTAGACCTTCCCAATGGCAGTTTCAGTTCTAATTTCATATATTTTGAGATCCATTTTCTCTGGGGTCTCCCATTCTCTTTCTCAACTACTTCCAAGTGAGCCACTTTTTATTTTAAATGAGATGACAATGTACTCATAGACCATTTGGTCTGTTGTAATCTTGGAAGCGAAGCGATCAATCCAAGTTCTATTACTAGAGATTTTTTTTTACACACTTGTATGGCTTCTGCAGTCATGGAGATGCTGAATCCACATTTTCTGGGGATAAGTTTACTGATGAACCATCCTGGGGTGCAGCTTTTGATACAAATTATGATGTTGATTCAGTATGGGGCTTCAGTCCAAAGGTAAGCTAATGATGGCTATATTCCACTCCATCATATGTGGAGATTCTTGATCCTGCAGAAGCATGAATTTTCTGTTCCATGATTTAGGCTTTGTTTGAGGCTGTTTTTTAACTGCTTCTTAAAGCAGTTTTTTAGTATAAAAATTTTATTTTTTTAACTAAAAAGCCGCTTTAAAAAATAATAAAAAAGCCGTCCCAAACGAAACTTTAATAAATTCCTCAAGCTTGTTTTGTTCTTACTGAGTGCGACTCATCAATGCAGGATGCTGGTCATGAGAGAACCCCTAAGAATTCTTTCTTTGGGTCAGAAGATTTCGGAACAAATCACATAAGGGTAGACTCTCCAAGTGCTAGTAGTGTCTTTGGGCAGGATAGAAAGAGCCCCTTCTTTGACTCCGTTCCAAGCACCCCTCACTTCAAGTCTAACTCATCTCCAAGGTTCAGCGAAGGACCCGAGGACCACACTTACGATGACTTTAGCCGGTTCGATTCCTACAGCATGCACGACAGCAGATTTTCGCCGCAACGTGAGGGCCATGCGAGATTTGATTCCATAAGCAGCGTCAATGATTTCGATCGTAGTCGAGGTTTCTCATTCGACGACACAGACCCCTTCGGCATTGGACCTTTCAGGTCTTTGGAAAACCATTCCCCAAGAAAAAATTCTGATAATTGGAGTTCCTTCTAAGGAGTCTCGTTTGAAGGAGAGATTATTACGTGCGGCCTCCGAACCATTCGGAGACGAATCCGGACGCCCGCAGGTAATAATTTTTCCGTTTTGAAGAGATGCCTTCTTTTGATTGTTTGCCACATCCCTGGAACTAAGTTTGGTTTGTGTGTATCTTAGCTGCTCGTTTTTATTCACTTCTATTCTTTGGCTATTATTTGGTAGTTTTGTTGGTGCATAATCTTTCCATTTGCTATTAGAGGATTGGCACGATGAGGTTTTGGATTTTTTTTTTTTTAAAACGAAGTTGAAGAAATATGGCTGTTATAAAAGTAAATATGTACGTTGAAATGTTATTGAAGGACCTTCTGTTATTTTATTTATCTGAAAGGAGAGTATGTAATACAAAATTGCAAACTGATCATACCATCTCTTCCATGTAAATTGTAAGCATATGTGGATATATTTTATGTATGTTTTGAATGTTATTTTGTTTGATTTATTTGACGTAATAGGAACATGTGATCACCTTTCTTAGGCCTCGTTTGAGACGTCTTAATTTTGCCTTTTCATTTTTGAAATGGCAGAAAATTTTTTGGTTGTTATTTGTATGTGTCACTTTTGCAGAGAGAATTGTATTTTTGTACTGTTTTCAAAAGCTTTTTTATATTAATTTCTCTTACTTTTAGGAAAGGTATAAAATAACCAAACGAAGTCTTATGAACTTTAAGATATTTTAGGCATGTATTGGAGCCCTAAATCTATATAAAATTTGCTATGCTTGTATTGAAGAACAAGTGAGTGAAATGTGGGTTATCTCTTGAAGCCATTTGATGTGTTCTCCTTCACAAGAAACCTTCTGCCTGCCCCTGATTACCATTTTTACCAAAAAACCTCATCTTTTATATCCTTCGAGGGCTTTTTTGAAGATTAATAGTGAGCACAAAGATCATCTTTAACAACCATACTTGTTTCCTCTTTCGAAATGTTTTGTTTTATTAGATTTAAGTATGAATTTGACTCTTAAAAATAATGCAATAAAAGAAAAAAAAGTTGATGTAGTTGATCTTGTGTAGTGGGATAAAGATTTGATGTTGTTGTTTGTTTGTTTGTCATCAATAACTCGTCAAGTTTTGGTAGTTCTAAGGGTTCCAAATTAGCAGTAAAAAAAGAGCTTTATGTATTAACATTTTATGAAGATCAAACATGCAAAGATAAAAATCATGTAAGACTTACATTTTTACGTGGAAAATAATAGAGGAAAGATTTATAGGGCCTATTCAATTTTAATGATTTTATTGGTGTTTACCATCACCGACTCCCACAATCAGAGAAAATGTTGATGCAATATAATATATATAGATAAATTTTGCGGTGGAAGTTGAAAGTGTGTTGAAGCATTAAGTTTTCTTCCATATATTATTTGTTGTACGTTTGTTTTATATATATATTGAGAAGAGGATTAGAGACCATGAAGTCTAATATAAATCTTGACAAAAGTAAGCGTTTTTTAGGGCGTGCATCAGGCGATTACATGCATTAGCATTGTTGGTGGTGGCAGTGTACTCATTAATCCAACTGGTTAGGGATACTTAATAACTGATTCATCATTTTGACGTGAATGACTCAAATAATTCGTCAATATAATGTGGATTTTGCATCGCTCAATGTCCAATTTCAAATGAAAGTCAATGCAATATACCTCTCTCCACATGTGTTTAAAAGTTCTTGTTTTTCTCGACCAAATTGGTTGGCGAGCTAGTCTAACCAATTCAAATTCAAGGAAAATCTTAATATAAGCTTGACCAATTAAATTGACTTAATTTTATAAGCAAAATAAATGCTTTATTTGTAATTAATAGAATGACAATTTTTTTCGGGTTTTATAAAAATATGTGGCTCATTTTTATATATTGGTTGAGGGCTTTGACTATCAATCAAGAGGTTTTGAACTCGAAACTCATATATATGATGTGTGTATTGATTTGCCTTAATTGCTCTAAATGTCCAAAAAGAAGTATTATTAAAATCTTATGATAAGTTTACATAAATAAAAGTAGTTATAATATTTTTGAACTCTCAAAATTTAGAATTCTGATTCTTTCATAATGCATATCTTAGCACAGAAAAATTATTACGTACGAAAAGTGGACATAGAGTAAAATTCGGACTCCAATGAAAATATGACGTGTAATGCACAACTAATACATATCAATACATAGTTATACACATAAATACACAGTAATACCTAGTAATATGCTAGTCTATACATCATATTTTCATTAGAGTCCAAAGATAACTCTATAGTTCGTTAGTGGCGGGCAGCTTTGTGTAGTTGTAGAGTAATTATTGTGTCCGCACACTGAAGGCGTCCAGAGACTAATAACAAAACATCACATCACTTGGGTGCTCGATACCGAGCACTCGGGGTATTGCTCGATATTTGTTCAAATTTTTCGATTTTTTGTCTGGACGTAATAACTTTGTGTAGTTGTAACAAAGATAAATTGTAGCCTTTGGATCTGGTTATTTGTGTGACATTGCAATGATCATCAAACACGATAATGGAGGTGCACGAAGTTTTTAACAATCCAACGGTTGTTAATTATTCTTTTTTTTTTCCTGAATAATACGATCAAATCTGTAGCGGCGGGCAGCTTCGAAGGGCCGTCTTCTCCAGCATCCAAATTGGAAAGTCTATATATATTTGATATCATATGCTCCGAGCTTGGATTTTTCTTTCGATCGCTTCGATCAAATCTGCTTCTTCCCTTCATCCCTCTCTCTTCTCTCTCCTGTCTCTCTCTTTCTCCACACGGCCAACGCTCTCTCTCTAACATATAATCTCTTGCTAGTCTGCAAACAATCAAAACTGATTCTTCCTTGCAAATACTATTCGAGGTAGGAGGAGAGGGAGGCTTTGATTCGTATAATTTTGTCTGATCTGCTATCGATGCATCTTCTCTTCTGCAAGATTTCCAGGCTGCCACCTGTTAGCTTCTCTTGTCACCAGCTCAAACGCTAGGGTTTCTTTCTGCGGTCTAGGGTTATTGCAACATCGTCTATTTTATCGATTCTTTCTCGTACGCATTTATGGACATCGAGGCGGTAGAGAGGTACGGAAATAGGAGGATTCAAAATAGAATTGGGTCATCGCAGGCGGCGCCTGATCGAGGAAACAGCAAGGTCTGCTTTCACTGGAGGGCGGGGAGGTGCAGCCGCTTTCCTTGTCCTTTTCTTCACAGCGAGCTTCCGCAGCATTCTGATGGTGGCGCCAAGCGGGCGGCTGGGGCGGATGAAAGGGGATTCCGTCCTCAAGGATTCGTTTGGAGGAATTCTCACACAAACGGGAATTCTGGCCCTCCTTCAAGGTGGGGCAAGGGCCGTGGAGGGGGTGCTGCTGGCGGTGTTAGACCGCAGCGCAAGGCACTGGATAAGATCTGCAACTATTTTATCTCGGGGACTTGTTCTTATGGAGAGAGTTGCAAGTTTTTGCATTCTTGGTTCCTTAGCGACAGCATCTCTCTCTTGACTCCCTTAAATGGACACCAAAAGGTAATTTTCATTTCCCTGATCAACCCCTCATAGCATATTATACACACTTTGCTAAATGTATTGGGTTAGTTTCTATGGTTAATCCTATGAACTTGCGTTTTCAGGATGTCACTGGAATTGCCCTTCCAACAGGGTCTGATAAGCTTTACACAGGGAGCAAAGACGAAACAGTTCGGGTTTGGGATTGCCAGACCGGGCAGGTGCTTGACAGTTGCTGCTGCTCACCATCATCTGTATATTGCAATATGAAAATTAAACATTTCAACATTTTTTTTATTCATAGTGTATCGGGGTAGTTAACTTGGGAGGTGAGGTTGGCTGCATGATCAGTGAGGGTCCATGGATTTTTGTTGGAGTTCCTAATGCCATTAAGGTTGGATTAATTAGCTTAATTCAAGTAATTTAAGTTTTTTTTTTTTTTGCATGACTAATCCAATGAGGATCTTTTTGTCTGGTAATTGAACAGGCATGGAACACACAAACTACTACTGATCTAAGCCTCAGTGGACCTACCGGACAAGTTTATGCTATGTCAGTCGGTAACGAGATGTTATTTGCTGGAACACAGGTACCTTGTCATGTATTCCTGACTGTAATTTCTTTAATCTAGAACATTTCCTTTGCACTTCTTATGGTCTTGCTTATTATTTGTCTCGGAAAGAGAAATGACGAATCATAGCTTCTCTTCTTTCTTTTTCTTTTTTCCAGGACGGGCGTATATTGGCATGGAGGTTCAGAGCTGTGGGGGACTGTTTTGAACCGGCTGCATCTCTTGTTGGTCATCGGCTTCCTGTTGTTTCAATGGTAGTTGGAGCAATGAGACTTTACTCTGGTTCTATGGATCATACAGTTAGAGTGAGTTTCGTGACTTCAAATCTAAACCTTAGCCCCTAATAAAAAAGTAAAGATCTATTAGTGATACCTTTTAAGGAGGCCGGATGCATGGGAAATGTATCCTGATGAACAGAAAACCATCTTTTGTCACTTCTTATGAGGCTATCTAATATCTTTTAGAACTGATTTTGTCAGTCAGAACTCATACTTCTATAAATCTCTGTTTACTTGGAAGAAATGATTTTGTGTTTATTTTACCCATATTTGGATAATTTAACTGTGGAACATCTTGATTCATACTTAAAATCACAGGCAGTTCTATCTGTGTATGCATCTCATTAGCCTAGCAAACTTTATAGTTCATTTTAAACAAAATGTTCACCTTCTTGTGATGCCAATCTTATTCTTTCCATATAATCTGATCATGCCGGTAACACTGAATTGTACATATGATTATTTTTTTAGTTTAAAATTAAATTTAGCTGCAAATAAAATGTTGAAAGTTTATTCTAAACTAAATTCTAGCTGCAGAAAACATTATAAAATATGAATTATGTAATATTCTTCATTTTTTCATGATAATTTTCCTTAATGAAATGTGAGGGTTCAGTTTAGGTGCTGTACACGTCTTTTGCGAATTGTTTCGAAGAAATTAAAATTTGAAACTTTTGAGAATATGCTTTTGACTTCCATGCATTACAAGGCCCCATTTAGTATGACACCCTGAATGTGGAACTTGGGAAAGTAAAATTCTTTTAGGTGTTTAGTTAGTAAACTTTTGCCCTAGTTTAGTAGTGCATTGCTGTTGGTTGTTTTTAACAAACTTTCCATCCTACATTTTTGATTTGTGCGGTGAATGCATCACTAAATTCCTACTTTGTGTGGACAGTTACTTCTCCTTCAGCAAAACCCAATTTTTTCGAAGTCTCACCACTCATCACTTTGAAGAGTACATATGTTCATTAATCTTTGTGAAAATAGCAGTGACTTTCATATATTACAGTGTGGCATAGCCTTGCCATATAAGCCAAAGTTTGAATTTGTTTCAAATCACTTAGTAATATATCGGGATTTTCCTCATCATAACTGTCCATTGCTTGTACAAAGTAATTCCGTAAGTGTGCCTCTTTGGTCGGTCACTGGAAATCAAACCAGCCTTTGCAACATGACTCTTTTACTATACTTCTTCCTACAAGAAGATGTAATGTGGATTTTAGTGTTCTTTCGTTTAATTATTGTTATGTGACATTTGAAGATTAGCAGCTTGCCCATAGGAATTTTCATTCTCTATTGGTTTCTATTAATAGTTGTATAGAGTGGCTTCCTATTTTTTATGCTTGATATGGGAAAAAATATTCTGTCTTTCGTTTATTACTTTTAGTACAATCATTTTCATCAGTTTTACCATTGCTTTTTATCATGACATGGTGTGAGATTATGGTTGATCACTTTTTACATATTCGGTTGAATGACAGTCCTTTGGCTCTGATATGTTAGATCCATTTCTGATGCATCATCCATTCCATATATGAGAAGTGAACGTGCATCATCCATAGATATGGCATGTGGACTTGTAGATGTGCAGTGCACAGAAATTTGTATGACATCCATTTAGGATGTTCTTACTTTATTTTTCTGCTTGTTGTTAGAAATTATCATAATCTAATGTTTAGTCACTTTTTTGAGTTTCTTTTCTGCTATCTGGAGAAATATTCTTACTATGGGCTTTTCATGTACTTAGGTTTGGGACCTTTCAACTCTACAATGCATCCAGACACTGACCGATCATACAGCAGTGGTCATGTCTGTATTATGTTGGGATCAATTTTTGTTAAGCTGTTCACTAGATAAGACAATAAAGGTCACCCTCTGTTTATATGAAAAGTAATGCTCTGGTATTTCATAAAAGCAACATCTCAATTCTTTATTTTCTCTATGATACTTTCAGGTTTGGGTTGCTACAGAAAGTGGTAACCTGGAAGTGACATATACGCACCAAGAAGAACACGTAAGTATCTGATACGTCTGCAATGTAAAAACAGCAAACAATCACTAGGAAAATTGCAGGAATGCCCAAACAGTGGCTGATTTTGTATTATTTCTTCAATTTGAAAATAAGATACATCTGATCTACAATTATAGAGTAGATCGGCTTTCCCACAAGACCTAGTGTGCTGCTAGGAACTTTCCAAAGAAAAACTTCAACAAAAATCAAAACATACACAATGAATATAAAACCTAGAATCAGCCCTAAGTTAGCTCTCCTAATTCCCCCCAAAACAACCTTCTTTCCTTAATATTTTTCCTCTCCTATTTGAAGTCAATTAGGAAAGCTTTCCCTAATTAATTCCCTTCTTATTTTCCCTCCTAATAGAATGAATTATTATTTTGCTGGGCCCCACAAGGGGGGCCGGAATCTCCCTGGCTCCAGGTTCCGCCCTCTCCTGTTGGACTGGCTGGTCCAGTCCTTATGCTGCCGTATTAGTAACCCTCATTGCTGATGATTTGTTTTTTTATTGTATTGAAATACCATGTTTTTGAAGCAGCAATTATTTTGTATTCTATTGTCAGCCTTTAAACAATGCTTGTTGTGTTAGTAGTCATTTTGAGAATGAACTGCTATGGTTTTTTTACAACTTTTTGGCTGTTACTATAATACATGTTACTTGTTTAAGACTCTTAAGACTAGAAAATGAATACATTCTGCATTCTACTTTTTCTGCAGTGGTGTTAAACAAATTTTAATACTCAGAAAATGTAGAACCCAACATTAGTTCTCGTGGTTCCATTATTGGCGGCTTTTGCCTCGTTTTTGAATAGGAGGGTGTATCTTATCTGTATACATAGACCATTTGAACTCCTTGTTTACTATTTGAACTCCAAATAAAGAAAAGTATCTTCTAACTTATTATGAGTTGCTTCGTGGAGCTTCTTAAAGATACCCCAAAATTTATATAAAATAAATAGATTTTAATTTGTTTTGTTTTTATACCTAGTGGTTGCCATAGTTTTCAAACTACAAGAACTTTGAAGAAATGTCTGCTTTTTGATTATTTACTACTTCTGAACGTAAAGCAAAACTTGAAAGGCAATTTTGGTTACATAAGAAAGTTTTGGCAACACTGCATTGCTAATCTCAATCTCATCATGTTTTAAGGTATTGTGAGATATATTTAATTGTAAGCTAATTGTATTCTCTTTTTCAAGTTAGCAAACTTGTCATTATTGATGCTAGATGGTGTTTCAAGATTACATAAGAAAGTTTCGGCAACACTGCAGTGCTAATCTCAATCTCATCATATGTTAAGTTATTTTGAGATATATTTAATTGTAAGCACATTGTATTCTCTTTTTCACGTTAGTAAACTTGTCATTATCGATGCTAGATGGTGTTTCAATATTGTTGTAATTTTTTTTTTTTGGTGAACAATGATTTTGAAATTTGAACATCTTTCTAAATTTTCTCATCTATAACTTGCTTGTTATTGATCATGACATCAAGTTAGAAGGCGAAACGATGCAATGTTATTCAAGTCAAAAGGCACATTGCTGCTTTTCCATGTGTGAATTATACTCGCTTGGTTGAAATATTTCTCATTTCAGATTGATGGCATTCTTAGTCAAATTTCAACCATGATAAGAGATTTTAATACGAATTCAACAAGTGATTGATTTTGAGCTTCTTACATTCTCATGTTTTATGTAAGCCAGTTGAGGCACTGCCTGAAAATTCTGCTGAAATTGATTAACTAGGAATTGTTACTTCATGTGAAGTTAGGAGCAAATAATATGATCCAGTCAAAAATAGTTTTACAAATTATACGATTGTTTTAATTAGAGGGTATGCCTGGACTAGTAGTTGCCTCGATTGTGATATGTATGGTTTTGAGTCACAACCCCTCCCTAAATCCGCACAAGATGTCATCGGGTAGGCCCTTTTTGCTATAGGTATATTTTACTCCTTTGAGCAGTTTTTTATTGCTCTGATGATAGACTTTTCCCTTGTCCTTGGAAACCTTGGTGATCAATTTTGAAACCTATACAAGCATATTCCAAGGTGCTTTTATGGTGATGTGCAGTTCCTTTGGCAAGTAAACGGATATTTGGTGTTGACATTATGATGAGGACATCCGACTGTGGAAAATTTATCAGAGAAAGAACCGAAGATTTACGGCTATGATTGAATCACTTTATTTTTTAGTTTTTAATTGTATTTGATTTATTTATGTAACTTTTTCGTTTTTACCCTCACTTGAGGGAGTAGGCTTTTGTGACCCCAGGGGGGCACTTTTGTTAATAGATGTATCATTGTATTTTGGCTACTTATAGGCCTCTCCTCCTCTTTGGAGATGATGATGATTATAATGAAAAGACAAATTCTGCACTTTGTTTTCTTTTAGAGTTGTGAGTTCTTGTGAGAATCGCAAGTTCCGTTGTGAGGCCAAAGCACTACCCATCAACTGCAGGAAGCGTCTGAGCTCGAGGTTCATTTCCACCTCAAATTCACTTGCTTTCTTCCCTAGCCACTGGCCCCCTAGCTCCTTTCCCTAGCCGTAGGCACCCCCCTCTTTCCCTAACCGCCGGCCACCACCCTTTCCCTTGCCCCCCCACTTTTAAATCAAGAAATTGATGTTTTTCATATTTGACGCATCTTAAATTAAGATTTTCAATTCAGATTTTAATTTATTTGAATTTGAAATCCCTTTCCTAAAATACAATGAAATATCTTAGGGAAGTCCCCCCCCTCAATGTCAAATCAAGAAATTGATCCTTTCAATATTTGACGCCTCTTAAATTAGGAAGGTTTTAAATTCAAATTTTAATTTATTTGAATTTGAAATTCCTTTCCTAAAAATAAGATGAATTATCTTAGAATAACCCCCCACCCCAATCATGCCAATTTAAATTAAATAGAGATTTGCCATAATCCCTCCTTAAATAATATTCTATGTTTGGCAAACCTCTCAATTCCCTAAATCAACTCCCCCACTCACCCTAGCCGCTGCCCCCCTCTCTCCCCTCTTTACCCTTTTGCTCCTTCCAATTAATTCCCTCCCAATCAATTCCTCCCAAATTAATTCCAGATTTTGCTAATTGTTGAGATTAATTTCAGATTTCCTAATTGTTTTCTCCACTACCATATATCCACAAAATTTGAAATTACAAATCATGCTTCTTCTCTCACTTGGATGGCCGGACATATCCTCACTCCTTCCTAAAATGTTTGCCCTAATTTGTTCTTTCTCTTGAGGAAGGAAGACGGGAGCCCTCCTCCCTTGGCCAGCTACATCACATCCCTTACCTCCATCACGACGTCTGACTTATTATTAAGACTTGTTCAGTGCAAGGAGAAATCCCAACAACTTGACGGCCAATTTGAGAAATGACGAAACAAATTTCAAGAACACGAGAACGGTAAACTCTTTTCCTAACCCTATATCTTCAACTCTTCCTCAATCATGGCATCATTTAGTTATGAAGACTTATCCACTTAAACCATATTGAGAGTGTGAGTGAGTGGATCTTTCATAGTGACTATTATAATTGTTAAGTTAGAGATTCTATTTGAAAACTGCACATTAGCATGATAAGATTTGATTTGATTATTTTGTACTCCTAATATTATTATGTAATTGATTACTTGATCTTAATTATCATCTTGTTGGCTTAAATATTTGCTAAGAACATAAGAAGTTGATAAATTTCAAAGCTCTGTCTATGCATGTGTAATTTTTTGATCCACAACATTTGCCTATACACGTAGTCCTACATCTCATTAAAATAAATTCTTTTTGAGGTCTATCATGATTTAGGGTTCGTTTGAGATGGCTTTTTTATTGCTTCTTAAAGCAGCTTTCTAGTACAAAAAATTTAATTTTTGTACTAGAAAGCTGCTTTAAGAAGCAGTAAGAAAGCCGTCCCAAACGAAGCCTTAATCTTGACTTTTGATCTATCCTAATCTAATGTGCATTTTTCCAACAGAAAACTAACATGCTCTATTATGTCGGTTGTGTTTGCTCAACTTAGGTTCAGGTAAGGTTGGGCTGTGTTTGTATATCAAAGTGAATATCCTTTACCCATTTATAAATGAATATAGATATATTATTTGAAACTTCGAGAAGAGCAACTATTAATTGTGTTAGTTTAATGTGTAGATATGCAACGTTAGGAATTACAAATACTTTTTGTGCTAGCTTACTCTGACTAATTTTATAATTTCACATTATTTGAGGCTGCATTTAGTTAAGACTAGCTGTAGTGCATGTACAGTATATTGTTCATTGAAATAGTTTTTTTCATCAAATTTTTTTTATGAACCCCTCATATTAATACTCAGGAAACGTAATTGTTCATTCTTTTTGTATCATTTGCACTAAACCTGAGTTAAGTAGTTCAAATAGTATAAATTTATTTATTATTTAAGATCAATAATAATGTTTATGTAATTGTTCAAATTATTTCTTCTTGGCATACATTATTTTAAGTAGAACTTATGATTTTGCTTAGTTATTGGCTTGAATTTAAATTGGCGGTCACTCTTCTTTTTTCTCTCCTCTTTTTAATAGGAATTTTGGTTGATTTCTTTTTTGAGTTATATTTGAAGTTTATGGTTGTTTTTTGGGCTTGAATTTGGATTAGTAGTCTAAAATATTAATTGTTATTGGGATTTTTTATTTGTTATTTTCAATTAAATGCTTAGATTCCATAAATGATATTTAATTATTTAGATTAAGATGCAGTTAGTTCTATTAAGCGAATTAATGTAGAAGTTTAAGGAGAGTTGAAAATTAATCATGCTTTGGTAAGGAGACTTGGAGTGAGGATGTGCATAAGTTTATTAAAAAAAATAAATTCAATTTTAAAAGATCATAAAAATTAAATAGTGTTGAGGGTTATAATGATCATTAGAACGTTAAAAATCTTTGAAAGAAAGTAGTGAGTAAAGTAAACATCACTATATTTGATGATCTATATAAATTGTTTAGTGCTAAGGAAGTAGAAAATGAG